ATGATAGTCGAATGAGTCAGAATGAGAAGTGCTTACAGATGATCCTTGTATAAAATGATAAAGTGTTGGGAGACAGTCGCGAGTGTCTTGACCAAGCTATTTGAAGAATATCTTGGTTTCGATTAATATCTTAAGATAACATTGCTACGGAATGTAAGATGAAGACTTTCGTAGATAGCTCTTAAGATGACGACTGATTCCCCTTGTTCTACGAATTTCAGGCTGATGCAGTCAACTAGACAACCTTATTTCGGATGAAGACTAGCAAATGTTGGGAGATAGCTACGAATGTCATGAGCGAACCAACTAGCTTAGCGAGAGGGATTACGGATGAACCATTTCAAGTTTGTATCTTTTTTCTACTGCATTATAATAATGGGACAAGTCACAATAACTACATGATGAATCTTGGCTGGTAGGAAGTAAATATGATAAATAGATCATTTTGTTTATGATTATAATCGGGAGTGCACTGGTTTTTACCTCTACTATCGGTCCTTCATCATCTCAAACGAAATAGAGTGTATATCTCATGTGTTCTGCTGGTAGTCTCAAAAACCTACTTATAAAACAAAAACGGATTTGCTTCCCTTGGGAACTATTGAGGCCTTTTCGGTTTGCTTATTTTATCTTTGCCTATAACTGTTTTTACATATCCACTCGCTTGCCCCTTTCACCAACAGTTCCTGATAGTCCTCGCTTCCATGACGGCCGCGAGGCGACCGACCACTTTTGTCAAGTATTTCTTCAGCGCTATTGCTCTGATGGGTCAGCTGGGGAGCCACCACCTTTCGCTGTCTGCACTTTCGAGGAGGCAATGGAAGCCACTGTGAATTCACCTCGTTTGAGCACGGTACGCTGAAACAACCAATGACCTGTCTAGAGTATCACTTAATCACTTTCTTGTGGTTTAAACCTCGCTCTCTGATATCAACTCTAGATATCCAGCAGACAAAGGATCGAAAAGCTCTGACATGTCGTGAGGAAAGGCAACTTTCGGATGTAGAGGTTTTAGGAAATTGCATAATCGAATTCTATGGTTAAGCTACTTCTAAGGTCATAGGGAGTTAGAAACGGATCTTGGAATATTCTCTTTCTACACTTGAATAAAATCACTTGACCAATTTTTTGGCTCCATGCATGAGTAGTGCGAAGACTTCTTCGTTACGCTAAGTTACTTCTTTATCTTTTGCTTACCAACTTGTGGATACTCCGCCAGTTCGTCTGAGAACGGAGCTTCATATATCTCCGTTTTTCCTTTCCTTAACGGT